GAAACAGTTCTTTTCCTATCGATAAAGAACAGAAACACAGTCCTCTTCCCAGAACTTCAACCAGCATACGTTCCCAGAGCAAGGTTCACTTGGCTTCTTATAACAACATTCCAAAGGGGAATACAAGCCTCATCAATGGGAACACATACTTTAGGATTAAACACAATGTAAACGCTAATTAAAGTGGGGGTGGGGTGGGGTGGTTTAAAATCTAAAGATTTCATTTTGAAAGGACAATTGAGCTGCTGACAACTCAGCTAAAACAGTATACAACAGCTGTACACTGTCAATGTATTCTTAATATACACGTTAAGAAAACAAAATATGCTATAAATTAGGCACTGGTGATTACAGCAAGTATAAAAGAGTTCTGTTAAATGCTGAATTCTCCTAGCAGTTAAAATATATTGATTTTTTAAACATAGAGATACTACAGGTACTTTTTCACATAATTTAAGAAACACTCAAGAAACTCTCACTTACCGCGTGTTTAAGTGTGCACATCTCGCAAAGGACGCAGCCCAGAGTCCAGGCATCACTAGAAAAGAGAATAACGAGACCTTCTCTCAGCATCAGAATTTACATAAAATGTTTTTCATTTAAAGGAAACAGAACCATCATGAAAATGCTCTGCAAAAATATGTGTTCCATAAAACATGTCCTTTCCAACTTGAAATGTCAACCATAACCAAATGACAATAGCAGTTATCCAGATTAGAAAAGTAAGTTTCCCAAGTAATGATTTTTAAAAGTTTCTTTCAAGAAATCTAATATTTAAAATGAATCACTATGCTGAACACCAGAAACTAACACTGTAAATTAACTACACATTAATACAATTTTTTAATTTTTAAAAATTAAAAAAATCTAATATTTTTAAAAGAACAAAATTAGTACATTTTGCAGATGTTTCATTTAATATTGCAAAAATCAAACTGTTTTATTCAACTATTTGCAAAATGCCATGATTCTTAAAATAGCATAAAATAGTATAAAAGCAAAATACTGCTTTAGTGAAGAAGAAAAATTAATTTACCAAAATTAAATCCAAAACAACCTGAGACTATTAACTGAAATACTATGTAAGGGTAAATACATTCATCTTCTCCTAATTTAAAGGCTTCTCTACACTATTTACTTTATCCATGGTCTCTTCCTCTCTTGTATCTTAAATTAACAGGTATGTTTATAATTTAAAAAGAACTACTTCTATGTTTAAAAGGAAAAAAAAACCCCTCACTCTCACAATTCAGAGCAACAGTGGTCCTTAAAGGTCAAAAAAAGTAAGAAACACTGCTCCTGGAAGTTGAACCCACTGGAAAAGAGGATAAGCCCATTATTAAAATCCTAAAGTTATCTTTAGCCAAACTCTCACAAAAATCTACAAATATAAACCTTAAACCCCAAAATCTGTTTAATTTTAAGATACAACTGGGAAAAAAATGTAAATGTAATTAAGCCTTTTATTAACGTGCACATGTTACAAACTAAAAGCTATGAACAGAAACACTGAACTAACGATCTTATTAGTAAAACACTTTAAAATACATTTGGAAAAACAAGAATTTCAAAGTATAATGGATGATGCTCATCCACTGCATTTCTAAGCATTTTTCCCCCAAAATAAACTTTATATAAAATTGTCCAAGGGATGATTAAATCCATCCCAAATTTAAAGACTAATATTTTCACAGCTGACTCATCCACACGACACAGAAACAGCATTAAATGTAAAATTATTTTAGCAAAGAAACTACTACTACCCTTTAGAATATCCACTACTAATACACTCCAGGGACTGGACTGATCATTGCAATTTAAACTGATGGTAAATATACTGCTCAGGTGACAGTCTGAGCCTCTACTGCCCAGGTCGGAGACGCAGCTCCCTCCCTTCCCAAAACAGGGGCCCAGACAGCCAGAGCAGCGACCACAAGGACAGGACTGCGGCCAGCTTCC